GTCACTCTACTGAAAACCTGCGAATAGCCGTCGCTGCGCCCACTTTAGGATGCGTATTTTCCATATTTTTCAACCACTTGTAGCTTACGATTTTGAAAAAAAAACCGTAAGCAAGCTCTCTAACCCATCTTGTGATTACCATATTTTGCGTGATACCGCGGCGAGGAAGGCAGAGCGGCTGGATCTAGTGGCCTACTGCTGGATTGCTGATTGCTTCAACATTGCGGGCCGTCATGCTGCGCGCAGTTCTTCTGACTTTTAACCATTTTCTTCAGTAGTCGAGATTTTATTCATAATTTCACTGAAAGTAACATAGAGATGCTGTTCATCTGTTACAAAACATGGGCACAATTAAAAAACGAAAAGCTGTGAAAATCGTGTAAAATTGTTGTTCTCGCGTGTTTGCATGAGGCCTCGCACCTGATCTGCAAAAGTTAAGTGGTGTTATTTATTTTCTCTCCTTGTCGGTTCCTTGCATAATGTAAAAAATCTACCTGGTTTAGCTGTCTCGGACCACCCCCCCCCCACCATGGAAACGATCATGAACGGGTTCTTATGCTCTTCTGAACTTTGATGCTCTTGCATCTGCTGCTCTTTATCTGTCTGCACTTTTGCAGTGGTATTATGGCAAAAAGTTCGAGTAGACATGTGCTCGTACTTACGAGGAAAAAGTGTTCGTGAAACGAGGAAAATGACTGAAGTGGACTGCGCACATAGGTAAAAAATGGACGAGACAAGCGATTGGGGGGCATGTGTTAGAGCTGGCCATAGAATGCAGAAGACTGCAAGTTGAAGGGTATCTCAGCCCGTATCAGTAGGGGTAATAAAGCAGAAAAGAGGAAATAAGACCGATGATATTGATTCTGCTTGGAATTTACGGTGAATTTGGAGGGAATTTTGAAATTGGTCATGTATAAATCAGTTATCAGTTGAACAAAATATTTTCTTCAGTGTATCTCCCTGCAATCATAAATTTTGTGCTGGGTGCATCTACGAATGGAACTCGTTGAACTCAAAATGCCCAAAGGTGAGGCTCTACCTTGTAGGAAGTTGCATAGCTTTTTTCAATCATTCCTTTACTTTCTTTTTATCCGGACCTTCACTTTTTGCTGTGCTGGGTGCATCCGATAATTGGAGTCAGTTTCAGTGCCGTTGGAGCGCTGTGGATATTACACGGGATACGACGATAAATGCCATCATCGAGCAGTATCTCCAAGCATTTCCAGGTTTGTTGGTAGTAGAAAGTGTAGGTGATAAGATGATAAGAAACTCATTATTATGCGCGTTCATACTTTGGGCCAGCATACAGCAGCGTTTGGGGTGCACGCCAGCGGCTAGAGAAGTCTGGATATACAGTCCTCATCAAGGCGGACTGTCGGGGCGGCTGAGCCGCGCTGCACTGTGACGCGACAGCGGCTGCGGCTCGGTGACGGCGAATCAGCTGATTTCCATGGAATTCCCACTTTTTCAGCTCTTCAAGCTTCGAAAGTGGAAGGTGAGTTATTTTGAACAATTTTAAATTGTACAGGCTCTGAATTAATCTGAAGGAATGCAAGCCATTCTAATAAATGATAATAGACATATAAATAAAGGAAATTAGAGCCAGTACAATTCAAAGTTACGTTTGAATTTACAATTCAGTTGTTCAAAATAACTCACCTTCCACTTTCGAAGCTTGAAGAGCTGAAAAAGTGGGAATTCGCAGCCGAATTCCATCGAAATCAGCTGATTCGCCGTCACCGAGCCCAGCCGCTGTCGCGTCACAGTGCAGCGCGGCTCAGCCGCCCCGACAGTCCGCAATGATGAGGACTGTAGATCTAGCGAACGGCAGCATATGCCAGCGTTGTAGCGGGCAGTTTGAGATTGAGCAAAACTGCTCGCGAAAACGCTGCTGTACGCAGGCATACACTCGCTAGATCGATATCCATGCTCTCCTAGTCGCTGGCATGCGCTCTCGCAAAAGTATGAACGCAGCCTTAGGTAAATTTTGGCGTCACTTTTCATTGCCTACAATTCGGTCTGTCTGGCGTATCTTTTTTGTTCACCCTGCTTGATTGTATCCTGTGATTATGTTTTCTAACTTGTTCTACCTACTCACTTTAGAGAAGCGGCGAGACGAAGCTCAATTGATTGAACTCGATGAGCGTGAACTGGATCACTTGGAGAAATGGGAACGGAAGCGAGGCTCGGATGATGGAGATTACGATTACGACATGGAGGATCAGTATTTTGAGGTTGTAGCTTTCTAAAAATCCAAACCATTTCGAATGGCAATGCCGACCAGCAAACATTGCGTTGCCATATACAATTTTTCAACTACCAAACTAATAGTCTTTTCCACGTTGACCATATAATGCATATAATGAATCATTTTGCTTCGTAATTCAGGTGGGTGTGATTTTTCTATTTATTTTCTCAATCTTGTGATCTTGCTCTCTCTAGCTTTGATTTTTGCTTTGGTTTTCGCTGAAAAGCCTAAAATACAAGTTTGATGAACAATAAGTACAACGTTTTTGAATCCAAGTGGACTTGAAATCTAAGAGATTAGGCTGCGTTCGTACTTTGAGTCAGCACACGGCAGCAGTTTGAGCCCGTTTCGAGTGTACGCCAGCGCCAGCGGCTAGGAATGTATAGGTATCGATATAGCGTATGCCAGTACAGTAGGTGCCTAGCGACCAGGGAAGTATGGATATCGATCTAGCGTTTCGAGATTCCGCCAAGAGTGGAGATCCGGCACGCCTAGTCCAGCAGAAACATACAAAAATAAAAGTGTCGCAAGCACCCTAACTATTGACCCATAAGAAGACAAAACAAGTTCACTGTCACTAATTTCTTTTCTGTGGTTTTTTGTGGTGAGTTAATCTAAATTTGTTTTATATACCAAGTCCGGAATAGAGTTATGCTATCTAAATGTTTTTAAAACATTTTTGCTAGCCTCCGTCTGCCCTATGCTCTCCACTCCTGGTGGACACTGACACTAGATCGATGCCTATACTTTCCTAGTCGCTCAACGCTGCTGTACGTGGGAGGTGCTAGCGTACGCTAGATCGATGTCTGTACTTTCCTAGTCGCTGGCGCTGGCGGACGCTCGAAGCGCTAGTGGTTGCTGGTGTTCGCTGGTGGACACTGTCGCAAAGTATGAACATAGCCTTAAGAGCTAAATCTGATTTCTTTCAAGCTCCCTGTGTGCAGTTCGAAAAGCCTCGCACCATCAGCCTCCCTTTTCTCACTTATTTTTCTTCGCCCAGACCGGCTGGTGCCTACTATTCGATTTTTCCGCCATCTAAATCTGCCTAGATTTCTAGTTTTTAATCTTTGGCGGAAATGATTCAGAGTGAAGATTCGGATGCTTTCGAGGTGCAGGACGAGCAACTTGACGGGGACGATGACGATGGCTCTGCTTTGGACGACTATTCGAGCTCTGAGAGGTGGAGTGATGACGACATGATGGGAAGCTATGAAGATGAAGAAGACGAGGGAGACTCCGACATCCAGTACATTTATCCCTAAGCAGCTTCAATTTTTATTTCTTTTTCGAAGGCCGTATTGAGGCCTTTTGGCATCGTCATTATGGCTGCAATTCCAAAGAATTTTTAGGGACGAGTATTTATCACGTCGAAATTTGGAGAAGGCACGAATGGAGCGATTACGCCGGGAGAAGGAAGAACGTGAAAGACTTAAGCAGATGGAAGCTGAACAAAGTCGCAAAACAAATGGTACCTCCAAAAAGGGAAGACCTCGTGAACCTCGTTGTGGCACAGGAGGAAACAGTAGGTTTATTGTGTTGTAATATTTCTTTGCTGTTTGGTTTTAACCTTTTTGCTTTGTAAATAATGCCGGGGAACGGTTTGGATTTACTATTTTTGTTCCGTCCGGTTGAGGGACGTAGTTCCTAACTATCGCTTATCTTGGTAGTAGTCTTCGGTCCTCGGGAATCGGTTGGTTCCTCAGTGGAGGGATATTTGAACTGTGTCTGGTTGTATCACATTTCATTTGCAATTCGGATCACATTGTTTCGTTGGTAGAAAGAAAGTGAGAACTGCAACCTTGAAAATATATTGTGCGCTTGCTTCCGATGGTCATGATCCTTGCCGTGAAGTTTCAAACCTTTTGATACCTAATTACTACGAGTCTGGACCGGTAGTGTTTTCGGAGCTTCCAAAAAAGCAGAAAAACAATGAATCCGGGGAGAATTTTGGAGCTAAAGTACGCTGTACGCTTTTGTGCAGGATGGATTCTTGGCATTTCCGAGGTGGACCGAACCGGAGCTATAGACATATGCCACTGCGTTAGCTACGTGTCGTGAAAGACTCCACCCATCAGCAAAGCACGAAAATGCTTAGAGCTGTGCGACCAGACGTATGCCTTGCTATAAGCGAACATGGTGCTTGTCTGCACCTGCTCACGTTTAGTTGTCCTCTGAATTAGCTTGTATTTTGGACAGCTTGTCAAGATGTTCGTTACGTCACCTTGGTATCGACGCAGGTTTCGCACGTTGTGGTGGAGGGTAGAGTCCAAAACTGCCCTCAGCTATCGCAGCCATCCAGCTTCATTATCGCTCATTTTTTTGAATGAAATGCCACATTTATGCTGCTACGGACCTGTCCACCTCGCACACGACAAGATACATCGTGTAGGTATGCGTAGTGTATCTCTTAGTTGCAGCTAGAACTGTGTTAGCGGCAATACGATTCACGTTTATTTTTTGAAGGAGCCTTATCTCTAGCCGCGAGGCATGTCCAGTACTGGTCCAGCAAACTCGCAGTGTTAACTTTCTCCTCTCTTTGACGAGTTTCCTTGATTTACTGTTCTATTTTGCAGTTGTTGTGGCCTCAATTGCTTCTGCCATTTTTGGCTGTTCTGCTTTTTCAGACCTATTTCGACTGGTGATTGTATACAAGTAAAGTAGAAGTGAGAAGTGAAAGCGCGAGAGAGAAACTTTCAGATTTCGATGGTTCTGTAGTCTGATGAAATTGTTACGCTTTCGCATTTTTCGCCCCTATTAGTTACTTTTCTTGGAGGTTCTGAATCTTAGTGACATCCATATTACTACTATACTAGCTCAACTTGTCAGCGTTCAAGAGTAGCCTTCGCCTTGGGCGACGCGGAAATCGGGAAGCAAAGTCATAGAGGGGAAGGTTTTTCAGCTCTAAATGTCCGTGCACTCAGTCAATCTGTCATCCTTGATGAAAGGATATCTGTATGATTTTTATGAGATTTACTGGATAGCTTGCCTTTCGATAAAGTAGAAGGTTTGCAAGAGAAATTAATCGAAATCGAAATTTTTCATTCTAGAAGTTCTCTTTCGTTGCCAAACACTTCTCTTTCATGCGTTTCTTTTGATTGTGAGTTTTTATTTTGGAGGAAATATGGTACATCAAAAGATCGGATAGTAAGAAAATTTGGGCACGAAAAACTGTCAAAAAAAGTGGGTCATCTGGGTTACGCACTTATTAGTAACTCCTCGTAATCACCAGGCCTTTCACAGGTTCCCTTATGCTCAGCATTTCGCCGTTTTCTGTAAGATATACAGTTCAGAGATCGAGATTAATTGAAAAAGCCATTACAGGCGCTAGAGCGCTGCACCTGTACTTTGATAAACTTTGATTCATGTTGATAGCAGTATATGCACAGTATATACAAGGTAATATGCTGCCGACTCTAGCTCACTAATCATGTCTTTGCGTCATCCAATGCTATTATCTTATGGAATTTAAAAAAAAATCCAAAAACGCGTTGTGAAATTCTGAAGAAGATAGCTTTAGAGTTTCGTTGGACGGAACAACTAGGGAGACGTCTAAACCGTCACTTATAGGGGCTGCAGCGCCATCGTTACTTCCTGTGAAACCACGAAAATGAGACAATCTTACAAGGAGGTCGTTCAGGGCGTGGTGAGCTTTTTCAAAATGGTCTTGTGCATATTGTAGGGGCACATACGAGGACCAGAAAACTGAGGTTCATTTTCGCTGCGCGCTTCTACGAATAAAAAAAGTAAAAAAAATAGGTCGATGGTTCGGATCCCACCGAGGACAAATTTTGCTTTTCTACAATTTTTCATTTTTTGGATCCATGTTTGTCTAAATGCTTTGCCAACAAAAACATTCACGATAAACTGAACAATCCTATTTTTATGGAGCAAAACTGCTTTTTCGTTCGAATTCGTTAGTATGCACAGACTCAGCTCCTCGGCGCTATGCTGGTGCCAGATGGCACTGGAACCGAAAATAAAGTCTAGAATCGCCACGCAGGGGAGCCGAACCATCAACTCCACCCTCACTGTCCGATTGCGAAACCTCGGATCCGCTAGGCCATCCGATGCTCGACTCTGTGCAGCGCTCTTATCGTTGATGAAACCATTGCAAGAAGCCGTTCACCCTTGAGCACGTGACCCAAGTTGGAAGCTCACTTGCGGCGATTTTTCGCTTCGATTCAAATAGCCCCTTTATAAGGACCCCCCACTCAGCAACTGGTCAAAGTTGCAAGTGACCTACGCCGCATAGAGGCCCAGAACGAAGCAGATTCCAAAGATTTCTTTTCACTCGTTTTTTACCTTTCCTGGAAGCGCGCAGCGAAAATGAAGCACACTTTTCAGGTCCTTGCATGAGCCCCTACAATATGCAAAAAACCGTTTTCGAAAAGCGCACCACGCCCTGAACGACCTCCCTTGTTAGGGACTGAGGGTCAGATCATTTGTACAGGGGAGGGCGCTTACTAATTGCTTGACCGTGGGGATTGTCTTAAGTTTTCCCGTCAGAATATCTCAATAACAACCTTCATTACCTCCCTATTTCACTCTTTGAGGACTTCGTTGTTTTTCAATACGAGGCATTTTCCAAATATTATCACAGGTCGATCTGGTAACCGTGGAAGATCAAACGCGGCATCGAATCCGCCTACAACTTCTACTCGCTCAATTATTACACGATCGATGAGCAGATTGCGCGGCTGGTGATTGCCGCCTCATTTTTCGTCGTGAATTTCATTTTCTCATTCCTCTTTAAGTTTCGGGTTCCATAGCTCGATTTACCTGCCCATGCAATTTTCCCCCACTCGTCAGCAACATTTAAGTCAGCATCATTCTTCTTTTTCCACGTCAGTCCGCAAACATGTGATAGTCGCCTATTCAAAAAACAAGTGTGGATTTCTAGACATTTATGCATGTTACTAACAAACAAACAAACAGGAACAGGTGTTTTGTTTGTATTTACTGCCTATATAATTATGTGTTGAGTGTTTAGTTCGTGTGCTTCTAATAATGTGTCACATAATGGGTTTATAATGTGTAGTTTCATTGACTTGAAATACTTCTCATTTTGGTTTCTTTGTCATAATGGGCCAAGTTTTCCTTGAAATACGTTTGCAGGGCCATATATATGAGGAACAACTAAAAAGTGCGTGGTTGACCGAGCTGACAGCATGAGGACAGAGTGGCCATTGAACCCGATATCAGCGCGTGCGTGGTGGGGTAGGTATTGATTTTACGCGTTCGCGTTCGTGTGGTTGCCACCCTTGGCACGTCAATATTGCCTCTCTCTCCGCTAACGTCAGCTCCGATCTAGAAGTTCTTTTGAAAAAAAACATTTTTGGCCCATACCTTTTTATCATTTGCATTATCTTTACTATGTTATGAGGAAAGTTTCTTTTTTGCTGTCATACCCTTTTCTATGTGTCATTTGGCAGTGGCAGTTCCTTTCTTACTAGGTATTCTATTACTGATTTTTCTGTATGCATTCAGTACCATAAAGTGATTGTTCATAGTTGTCATGCTCTGTTTTTCATCATAAAAGTATTTATGGCTTTTGGGTTGCAGCTATTGTTGCAAGCTCAGAACACTTCTATGCTACACTTGCCCTTATTTTTCTGTCTGTACTGTAAATAAACGTGTATTAATTTTCAATTTGCGTTGACAGTTGTTTAATAGCAGTTTCAGCTGCGCTATACTGTAGTTTTGTGTCGAATATAAACAAAATGGACTTTGTTCTACTGTCGTGCTGTAACTATCTCGTCATTCATCGTGATAATCGGGGCGGAATATGTGGAAAGACCGAAGTGTAAGTGAAGTGAATCATGAACGAAGTCTGGTCAATATTTCTTGCCACTTCTGTTCAAACCGCTTCTGCAATCTTATAAGGCAAGTTAAGGAAGGGGCGTGTCCGCCGGAATGGGTTTGGCACGGCGCCAACCCGTTCTCTACCATTTGTTGTAGCGAGAAGGTGACAAGACTATCATATAGTTCGCATCAGTCGCTTTTTCCTCAACTGTGGCCCTTATCCACCTCAACAAGTGGTAGGGGACGGTTTAAACGTCGCGCCAAACTAATCCCGCCAGACACACCCCTTCATCTGCAGCGAGCCAGACTACTTATTTTATGGAATTCTCAGAAATGGTTAGCTCATTGGTAAAAACCCAACATAGATTTCATATGCACCACGTTTGTCTTACCAGCAGTCAAGGTTTGTGTGCAGAAAAACAGGGGCCAGTAGTGAGGGCTTTTGTCATAGCCTAAAGGGATGTGGGTCGTGAATGTCTGTCGAGTTCGGCAACCCTGTTCAGACGAGCTTGATTCCACTAATCCAGGCGTCCCTCCCCATTATACCACCGCCAGGTTAGGTTTATTTGAAAGCCATGACATTTAAGTAAATAATTTCTCTGATGGCTCCACTAGTCAATTAATCACACCGTTGGTTCAATGCAAAGGTCTTTCCTTAGTTTTCTTCCGGTATGATTTTGTTGCTGGTCCTAGTTTCTCGGCCTCATCCGCTTATCGGCTATGTTGCTGAGCACGGTAGC